GGTCACCTGGCTGCGCTTGTCTGGGCCTGTTGCCAAGCCAGCAAGGGCGTGGGAGGGTTGCGAGTATCATCGGTCATCGGCGCTCGTGAATGAAGAGCGCTCGCTGCACTTCCTGCACATGTGCGGACCCTTCCGGGTTCTGAGTCTCGAAGCGCTCGTTCCGAGCGTTTTTCTACCGCCGGGTCACTTGGCTGCGCTTGTCTGGGCCTATTGCCAAGCCAGCAAGGGCGTGGGTGGGTTGCGAGTATCATCGGTCATCGGCGCTCGCGAATGAAGAGCGCCCGCTGCACTTCCTGCACATGTGCGGATCCTTCCGGGTTTTGGGGCTGGAAGTGCTCGTTCCGAGCGTTTTTCTACCACCAGGTCACGTGGTTGCGCTTGTCTGGGCCTATTGCCAAGCCAGCAAGGGCGTGGGTGGGTTGCAAGCATCATCGGTCATCTGCGCTCGCGAATGAAGAGCGCCCGCTGCACTTCCTGCACATGTGCGAATCCTTCCGCTTTTTGGGGCTGCGCTTGTCAGCATGGGCGTGGGTGGGTTGCAAGCATCATTGGTCATCGGCGCTCGCGAATGAAGAGCGCCCGCTGCACTTCCTGCACATGTGCGAATCCTTCCGCGTTTTGGGGCTTGAAGCGCTCGTTCGAGCGTTTTTCTTCCACCGGGTCACGTGGCTGCTCTTGTCTGGGCCTACTGCCAAGCCATCAAAGGCGTGGGTGGGTTGCAAGCATCATCGGTCATCGGCGCTCGCAAATGAAGAGTGTCCGCTGCACTTCCTGCACATGGTCACGCTTGGTCAAACTTGTCCATACTTGGGCACGCTTGGTCACGCTTGGTCACACTTGGTCACACTTGGTCACGCTTGGACACGCTTGGCCAAACTTGGTCACGCTTGGTCACACCTCGTCATGCTTGGTCACTCTTGGTCATGCTTGGTCACACTTGGTCACGCTTGGTAACGCTAGGTCACACTTGGGCACGCTTGGTCATACTTGGTCACACTTGGTCACACTTGGGCACGCTTGGTCACACTTGGTCACACTTGGTCACGCTTGGTCACACTTGGGCACGCTTGGTCACACTTGGTCATGCTTGGGCTCGCTTGGTCACGCTTGGTCACGCTTTGGTCATAATTGGTCACACTTGGTCACACTTGGTCACATTTGGTCACGCTTGGGCACGCTTGGACACGCTTGGTCACGCTTTGGTCACAATTGGTCACACTTGGTCACGCTTGGTCACGCTTGGGGAAGCTTGGTCACACTTGGCCACGCTTGGTCACACTTGGTCACGCTTAGTCACACTTGGTCATACTTGGTCACACTTGGTCACGCTTGGTCACGCTTGGGCACGCTTGGTCACGCTTGGTCATGCTTGGTCACACTTGGACACGCTTGGTCACACTTGGTCACGCTTTGTCACGCTTGGTTACGCTTGGTCACACTTGGCTTGATCACACTTGGTCACGCTTGGTCATGCTTGGTCACACTTGGTCACACTTGGTCACGCTTGGTCACGCTTGGTCACACTTGGTCACGCTTGATCACACTTGGTCACGCTTGGTCACACTTGGTCACGCTTGGTCACATTTGGTCACCCTTGATCACACTTGGTCACGCTTGGTCACACTTGGTCACGCTTGGTCACGCTTGGTCACACTTGGTCAGGTCACGCTTGGTCACACTTGGGCACGCTTGGTCACATTGGGGACGCTTGGTCACACTTGGTCATGCTTGGTCACGCTTGGTCACACTTGGGCACGCTTGGTCATACTTGGTCACGCTTGGTCACGCTTGGGCACGCTTGGTCATGCTTGGTCACGCTTGGTCACATTTGGTCACGCTTTGTCACACTTGGACAAGCTTGGTCACGCTTGATCACGCCTGGTCACGCTTGGTCACACTTGGGCACGCTTGGTCATACTTGGTTACACATGGGCACGCTTGGTCACACTTGATCACGCTTGGTCACACTTGGTCACGCTTGGCACACACCAGTAAATGGAGTGCAGTTCAAGAATTCAGATAAGGAACGGTCGCATGCATGTACTTTCCACAGTTTTTTTATGATAGTTTTTTTTTTTTTTTGAAATGGTTGTCTTGTCTCTCTCTGCTATTTAGCGCGTCACTTCCAGTAAGGCGCATCGCGCCAATTCAAATTCAGAAAATCGTCATTCAGACGCACAAACAGCTGAGGGAATGCCATTGCCATGCGACTGTATGCCATCACTCCCGCTCCCACCGCTCTGCCACCCTGCCAACCTGCCACTCCGCCAGTCATCATCCATTCATGGCGCATGCTCCCTGTTATTTTGGGGGTTGTCTTGTGTGCTCAAACTATGTACCTTACGGTTCAGTAGGTTTTCTCGAGATTCAATACGGTCATTATGAAAAACCGCTTGGTAGCGTATCACACCCATTGGAACCGTGTTAAGTTCATCGAGCGTGAAGGTGTTGCCCATTCCTATCCCAGCACAGCTACAAAAAGTAAGTGAAGACTCTAACCTGCGAGTTGAACATAACCACGCTAGCATTCTTGGAGTTGGTTCCTAGTCGGAAAAGTCCTGCGCTTCGTGTCGTATGACGGACACGCCAGCTTATATATATTCCGCTCGCACGGAGGTCCTTCTGTCCACTACGCGTCCGTATTGAATCTGGCGGCGTTGCGGAAACTTGGGTGCTTGACGGACGCTCGTTCGTTCATTATGGTCGAAAATATCAGAGGTAACAAGGCCGACGTCTGAGATCTCCTATGCCTAGAGTTCATATCCGTTGGATAATTATATCAGTTTTCTCTTCGCCTATTGGCCTTCTTAAATGATGACTTGCGACGATATGTGCATGTTGAAAGCGTGTTGCTCTTGGTGTTTGTCACCGTTCTCACTGTGTCGACCTGATTCGACGCCATTGGTTTATCTTTTTTTCGCAGTGCAGAAGAGTTTGATACTGACATCTGAAGTTGTTTCGCTTCGTGAGCGTTAAGCGGGGATAACCGAACCGGCCTGAGCCGCGAAAGCTACAGCGTGCCAGAAGCATTAACTTGCTCTAGGCGACGTTAGCGACGAAGGCGACGAAGGCGACGACGACGACGATGGCGGCAGCAGACGGCGAGAACGAGGAGGTGATGTGCGATGATATCGGCAGCGATTTGGGCGCGAGCGAGGGCGAAGAGGAGGAGGAGGAGGTGGACGAGGCGGGCGAGGAGGAGGGCGAGCGCGACGAGGAGGTGGACTTGGAAGACGGCAGCGACGCGGAGGGAGACGCGGCGACAGCGGGAAGCGCCAAGGGTTCCCCGCTTTCGGTGAGTGCGCGCAGGTTCGTTCATTAGCAGCCTTAATGGTGGCGAGGAGGAGGGCGAGCGCGACGAGGAGGTGGACTTGGAAGACGGCAGCGATGCGGAGGGAGACGCGGCGACGGCGGGAAGCAACAAGGGTTCCCCGCCCTCGGTGAGTGCGCTTTAGGTCCGTCAGGAGTCTGAAAGATTGTCGCGACAAGTACTAGGGAGTCTCTGCTGTTAGTCAGCGTCATTCCGTTAGCCCGTCATTCTGTCTTTCATTTATTTCCTGCACAGCACTTTTTTCTTTTTTAACCAACGACACATTATTGTCGTCACTATCACGTGAAAGCTGTATTCTGTTTGCGCTCGCTTGCACGTTTCTCGGTGATGTTTGTTCGCGACGTTCTTGCGATGTACTTTGGACGTCGGGTTCGCGACCTTTTTTCGCAAACATGTGTTACGCCTTTGCGACATTCTCGATTCTTTACCGTGTCTACGACTTACAGGATCGCGAGGGGCCGTGGACGGACGACGAGGTGCAGGCGCTGGTGGACCACCTCGTGCTGCTGGAGGAACAGGTGCGTGCGACGAGGCGTGCGACGAGGCGTGCGACGCAGTTAGTAGTCCGTGCGCCGCCGTTGGCCATGCGTGCGACCGGAACGGAGTAAAAAGTGTGCGACGATGTTAAGAGTAGGCGGGAAGTGGGCAAGAACGTAAGCCGCACGTTTCCTGTTCAAGAGAGGAAGCAAGATGAGTTCCTCCTTGCATTCGCGACAGCAACACGACAGCTTCTTATGTTAGAAATGTTTTCAAACATACGCTGCGCGTAAGCTGATCTCTTACAAGTGCAATCCGCTTTCCAACACCCTGCAGGCGGCGGAGGCGCAGGAATCGCTGGAGGAGGAGTCTATGGAATCCGTGCGCAGCAACGTTGCGGAAGAGATCCGCTCCGCGCGCCCGGACTGCTCCCCCGACCAGGTGAGCCGCACGGAAGGGTGCAGGGGGAAGGGGGAGGGATAAGGGGGAGGGAATTGTTGATGCGCGCGAGTTCCGCCATTCACGGAAAATATATTTATTTAGGCGCATCAAAAGGTTTTCTCGCCCTTCCCTCCGCCGGTTTCCTGCTCTGGCCGTGTGTGTGTGTGCAGGTGGCAGTGCTGGTGGACGAGGAAATGGCAACCCTGCAGAAGATGTTTTTTCTAAGGCTCCGTCCCCACCCTTCCCTTCCCCTCTCCCCTGCTCCGGCTGTGTGTGTGTTGTAGGTGGAAGTGCTTGTAGACGAGGAGATGGCGACGCTCCAGGAGATGTGGGAGAGGGAGCTGAACGTGTTGCTGGATAAGATATCCGAGGCCCAGGTGCGCGTTTGTAACTTGTGAGGTACAGGCGCTGAAACTAGAGCTGAACGTGTTGCTGGATAAGATCTCCGAGGCCCAGGTGGGTGTGTGCTTGTGTGCGTGCTTGCTGTTACGTCCGCTCACTACTGTGGCCCTCTGCCGTTTCCCGCTCAGCCCTGCTGACTGATGGCACTCATTAACCTCGTCAGACTGTTTAGCATGCTTGATGCGCGTCCTGGTGCTCTTTCTGTGGCAGCTGTTGCCATTCTGAAACGCACGGTAGCAGCCCTTTCTTGACGCGTGCTCCCTCTTCGTCTCTCCTCGCGCGTCTCTCCTCCTCCCCCTCCGTCCCATCCCCATCTCCCACCACTGTGCCCTCCTCTCCTCCCTCTCAGGAGTGTCTCGATACCGTTCCAGGCATAGACCTGCCAGCCGTCTACGCGTTCATAGAAAAGCACACGTCAAAAGCAGCACGCACAGCGGCTTGGAAGGAGCGCTCGCACTGGATCACCGACCCTAAGCGCGACGCTGCCAAGGCTGAGGCTCGGCGGCAAAGGGAGGCTTGGAGGAGGGCCGAGGCTCGGGCGGCGGAGCGGAAACGGAGCAAGCGCGCGGCCAAGAGGAAGCGGGGAGAAGGGGAGGAGGAGGGAGATGAGAGTGAGGAAGAGAGTGAGGAGGAAGAGGAGGACGATGAGGAGGATGAGGTGGATGAGGAGGACTGGGTTGGGGCAGCTGAGAAAGTTTTGGCGCACACACGTCCTATTGCAGAGTGAGTTTGGCCGTCTGACTCAGGATTCGATGAGTGTGCTGGCAGGCTTGCAGCGAGAGGGAAGGGGAAGGACTGATTATGAACGCCCTCATTTCTTTTTGTTCCGTTTCTGAGCGCCCTTTTCTGGAAAGTCCTATCTACATTTTTTTCTAGAAGCGATGGTCCAGTGCATGTTCTTGTTTCGAAGTCTAGTTTCTTTGACGCCCTCGTCCCTGCTGCCCCATCCCGCCCGCGCCATTGTTCCGCAGTAATCAAGAACGAGAGTTTGGCACGTATTCTATGCACAGCGACACGCTCTTCCACTCCTCCGCTATCAAAATTCCCCATGCCCCTCTCTCCCGACTTGCTCTGCGCAGGAAGAATGGGGTGATAGCACCGGTTGGAGCGAGTGGGTACCTGGAGCAGCTACTGCGCGATTGCGAGGAGAATATGGTCTGTGAGGCGACCAAGGCTGCTGCTGAGTTGTGTTAAAAGCCGCTATCAAAATTCCTCTTACCCTTTTCTCCCGACATGCTCTGCGCAGGACGAGTAAGGGGGTGATAGCACCGGTTGGAGCGAGTGGGTACCTGGAGCAGCTGCTGCGCGATTGCGAGGATACTATGGTGGGTGAGGCAACCAAGGCTGCTGCTGACGCCCTACAAGCAGATGCGGCAACAGCGCCTGATGATGCAGCAGCAGCAGGAGCTGATGGGGAGAGTACGGGAGACGGTGCAGTTGGGGGTTGGAGTGAGCAGGAGAACGGGATAGACGCGGTACCGGCAGGAGCAGGAGGTCAGCGTTGTGTGGTTCTGCGTATGCTTGAATGTCTGACCTTGTGGTGGTTGTTGTTGGCTGGGTGCAGATAGGAGATGGGGATGATGAGAAGAAGATGAAGCAAGCGAGGAGGAGGGTCAGGGTGAGGGTGAAGCGGCAGCAGCAGAAGCAGAAGCAGCAGGAACAGGAGTTGGCAAAAGAGGGGGGCGGTGATGGGAAGCAGGGAACGGCAGGGAAACCGGCCCAAGGGACAGGTAAAGCTGCTGGCGAGAGCAAGGCAGGAAAGGATAAGGAGGAGGAGAGAGAGAGCAAGCGACCGCGAGTTGTGCTGGTGGTTTCTACTGACAGCAGCGGCAGCAGCGACAGTGAGGGCGTGGAGATGATCCGTACCAGCAGCAGCAGTGGAATGGAGGTGGAGGGGGAGGAGATGGAGGAGGGGGAGGTGCGGGAGGATCAGGTGGTGTTGGGATCCGATAGCCAAGAGTCAGACGACGTGATTGTTGTGGGGGAGACACGTGGAAAGACGGATAGGGAGGTAGAGAAGGGCGCAGTGAGGGGACCAGGCCTTGTGGGCAGAGCGGGACGGAAGGAAGGTGCGAAGGAAGAGGAGGAAGAGGAGGAGTGTTTGGTACGATGCACTGTCTGCGGGCAAGAAACACCGGCTAAGAGATCTCGAGTGCATAGCACCCTCTCAGTCCCCCTCTGCCGAACCTGCCACGTGTCACGCATCAACGTGACCTTCTCTGTGGACAAATCGGACGGTACAGAGCAGCAGTGCCACTGGTGCGGGCTGGGGGGGCATTTGTTGCTCTGTGACACTCCCAAGTGCCGCTTCACGTTCTGCCGTAGCTGCGTTTTAAGGAACTTTGGGGCGGCGGAGTATAGAAGGATAGAGATCTCTGATGCGGAAGGGGGAAGTCCGTGGAAGTGTTACTGCTGTGATGCTGGCCCGCTGGCAGGGTTGCAAGCGGAAGGGGCGAAGGTGGTGGCGCGGAGGGGGGTGCGGGCAGCGAGGGGCGTGTGGGGGAAGAAGGAGAAGGAGGGTCAAGGGGAGGGGGAGAAGGGAGCGGGGTTGGAGGGAGTGGGGGAGGAGAAGGCGCGGGGAGAGGGAGGGGAGGGAGGCGAGAGGGAGGCGGAGGGAACAAATGCTGAGAGGTAAGTTTGCAGGCTCGAAAGTGACACGTGGCATGTGTGTGACTTGTGACAGACGTGCTGTGTTGTGAAATGTGGTGGGAGTTGTGATTTGTGCTGCAGCGTACTCTGGTCTGCAACTTGTGGTGCTGCATCCTCTGCGCCCCTGCGCTTCTGTGCCTGAACTGAGTCAATTCTTGGAGCTTTCAATAACTCTCCTGACTGTTCCGTGTGCTTTCTCCCGGTGCCCTGGTCGGTGGCAGTGGCAGCGGCAAGCAGCATAGGAGGCGGGTCCCTATCATAACAGACGATCAACTGGAAGCCAAGACCAAACAGGCGCTTGAGCGAGAACGGGTAACACTCATGCGTCCCTCTCTGCCTTGCTTCCTCTTTGTGCTTTCTTTGTTGGTCTGCCCGCCCGGCTTCCCTATCTGCCTCCCTCGGTTTCTGCTCCCTCCGTTGTCTGCTTCTCTGCATCCCTCCTTGCCTTCCCTTCCCACACACTCTCTTCAGAATTCCTTTGTTAATAGCATTCTTTCTTCTTTGCGAGCTTGCTGTCTTGATCTTTGTATCACTTCTTCCCAATCACCCCCTCCTTTTTAACCCTCTTCTCAAATCTCCTCTTTCTTAAATCCTTTCTTTTCAATCCCCTCCTGCCCACCTATCCCTTGCCTCCCCCAGAGGAGTTTTGTGGCGCCTGTAAAGTCAAACACCCCCCTGCCCACCTCTCCCTTGCCTCCCCCCACCAGCGTCGACGAGAGCAGGAGGAGGAATGGCGGAGGATGAGGGAGGAGCGGGAGAAGCTGAAGGAGCAGCCGCTGTGGCGACAGAAGAGGCGCAGGCAGAGAATGGAGCAGGGGGGAGGGGGAGGGGAGGAGGAAGAGGACGAGGAGGAGGTGCAGCAGGATGGGTGTGTGGTTATCAACAAGCTGCGGGCGCTGTCTGAGCCTGCTGTGCGCATCCACCCGTTTCTCTCAGAGAGTCTCAAAGACCACCAGGTGTGTAATGGGGGGTAAAGAGAGGGAAGGAGAGGGGCATCTGTCAGTTGCCCCAAAAGCTGTTGTGTTGTGAAGTGATTCCATTCGTTTTCTCCCCTGCCAGGTGGAGGGCGTGCACGGTTTATGTGGCAGAAGTGCATTCACAGCATGGCGCTGGTTGGTTGCCCCAAGGGGCCACCAAGGGGTTGGGTGATGGATGTCTCAACCATCCACCACCGTCTATCCCCCCACACTTCCCACCCTGGCTCCCCATCCCTTCTCTTTTCTCTCAGGTGGAGGGCGTGCGGTTCATGTGGGGAAAAGAGAAGGGAAAAGAGAAGGGAAAAGAGAAGGCAACCAGCGCTTTGAACCAGCGCCATGCGACTGTGGGGAGAGAAGGGCATTGTTAAGTGTGCATCCAGGTGACGAGGAGGGGGAAGAGGAGGAGGTGCAGCAGGATGGCTGTGTGGTTGCATTGCCTTGTACTGTGCGAATGCCCCACCCGTTCCACCTTCTGTTCTTTTCCCTTTCTCTCCCCTGTCAGGTGGAGGGCGTGCGGTTCATGTGGCAGAACTGCATTCACAGCATGGCGCTCGTGCAGAGCGGGGATCCCGGGTTCGATTGGATTGGCTTGTCTTGCCGGATGATGTCTCACCCACTCCACCTTCTGCCCCTTCCCCACCATCCTGGCTCCCCATCCCTTCTCTTCCTTCTCAGGTGGAGGGCGTGCGGTTCATGTGGCAGAACTGCATCCACAGCAAGGCGCTGGTCCAAAGCGGGGACCCCGGGTTCGGGTGCATTCTAGCGCACTCCATGGGGCTGGGGAAGACACTCCAAGTGATCACCTTCGTGCACACCGTTCTGAACCAGTTCCACTCGCACGGGCTCAGAACGGTGCTGATTGTGGCGCCTGTGAACGTGCTGCATAACTGGAAGGAGGAGTTTCGGCGGTGGATGCCAGTGGTTGGGAGCGGTGCTGCTGCGCGGGGGGGAGGAGCAGGAGGGGCGGGAGGAGGGGTGGGAGGAGTGGGGAAGGGAGGGGACGCTCTTTGCGTCCTATGCTGCACTTGCCAAGGTGACTCTTGGAAATTCTTGAACTGTCTCTTGTCGTGCTGCACTTGTCAAGGCAATTCTTGAAATTCAATGCTAAGCTGTTTACTATGGAACTATACTGTCGGATGCATAAACCCCGCCCTTGCCCGTCGCCCCTCAGACCTCGCCCGTCGCCCGTCACCCCTCGCCCCTCACCCCTCGCCCCTCACCCCTGCCATCCCCAGGTGTGACGCACCCCTTCATCCTCACCATGCGGCGCCAGGAGGCAGATGAAGCCGAGCCTGATACTGACGCTGCTACCCTGGAGCCACACTTTTGTTCGCCTCTCACTCCCACCCCCTCGTGCCTTGCGTCTCTCACCCCCCCTTCCTCCCCCCAGGTGTGGACGCACCCCTTCATCCTCACCATGCGGCGCCAGGAGGCTGATGAAACCGAGACGGATACTGACGTTCCTGCCGATGCTGCCTCGCCCTCCGCCCCACCTGCTGCTGCTGCTGCTGCTACTACTACTGTGTCAGCTCTAGACAATGTATGTGGCATGGGTATAGGTGGAATTACTGTGCATGGAATGTGCATGCATGGTTTGAGAATTCCAGCAAGGGTGTTCGATTCCCTGGCCTGTTCCCTGTTCTTCCCTAAGGCACTTCAAAACTCTCGCTTTCTCTCTCTCTTCCTCTTCTTGTTTCCTTGGCCCCTTGCCTCGTCGCCTTGCCTCCTTCTCCCCTCCTCTCCCCTCCCCTCTCCCTCCGCCAGTCGTGGTGGCAGGAGGAAGAGGAGGCGATACGGCAGGGCGGGTTGGGGGTGAGCGGCAAGCTGACAATCGCGCTGGACATCCTGAGGCAGGCAGCAGCAGCGGGCGACAAAGTGCTCTTCTTCAGCCAGTCCCTGCTAACTCTCGACCTCCTTGAACTTCTACTTGCCGACATGCACGATCCTGTTGCTTCTGCTGCTGGTGGCGGTGCTGCTGGTGTGGGTGCAAAGTGGACAGCAGGCGTGCACTGGTACAGGTATGCTCCGTTCCTGTTCCTGCACGCCTGACCTGATTATTCTCGAACCGATCCCGGATTTCCCGGTCTCTTGTCCTTTACTCAACCCCTCCTACCCTCTCCCACCCACCCTCCCCCTTTTCACCTCTTCCCAGAATCGACGGGTCTGTGAGTGCGGCGAGGAGGCAAACCATAGTGAACCGGTTCAACGAGCCGCGCAGCAACCGGCAGGCGCGGTGTGTGCTGATCTCGACGCGGGCGGGGTCGGTGGGAATCAACCTGGTGGCGGCTAACCGCGTGGTGCTGCTCGATGGGTCCTGGAACCCCGCGCATGACCTGCAGGCCATGTTCCGCGTGTGGCGGTGAGGCAGGGGGGAAGGAAGGGGTGTGCGTGGGTGCTCTTCTGAGGGTGCAGTTGAGGGAGAGGTGACTTATGGGTGGTGCTGCTCGATGGGTCCTGGAACCCCGCGCACGACCTGCGGGCCATGTTCCGCGTGTGGAGGTGCGTGCGTTGGAAGTGCGGAGAGTGGGGAGGAATGGGGGAAAGAGGGAGGGAGTAGGGGGCACTCCGTTTTTATCATTTCTATTATTGGCTGGTCAGCATGCGTCACTCCCTTTCCAAGAGGCCCCTTCCCCTCTCCGCAGATCTTCCTTCTCCTCCATCCTCCCTCATCCTCATTCTCATCCTCGCCTATCCTCCCCATTGCTGCATGGCACCCACGCGGCATGTGAGCAGGTACGGGCAGAACAAGAAGGTGTTTGTGTACAGGCTGCTGGCAGCAGGGACCATGGAGGAGAAGATCTACAACCGCCAGGTGCGCCACGCCACCGCGCCACCCCACCTCGCCACCATGCCACACCCATACCTCGTCATTGTAGCGTATGATCATATTGTTCCTTTGGTCGTAGTATCATATCATCCTGAGATCGTGGCGTTGTCATATCATCATGTCATGTCTTCACGTGGGCACATGGGCAGGTGGTGAAGGAGGGGCTAGCAGCACGGGTGGTGGACGAGCAGCAGGTGGTGCGGCACTTGACCGACCGTGACCTGGACGGGCTCTTCTCTCTTGATGATGACCCTCCTTCCCATACACACCCTCCCCACCTCCCCACACATATTCATGTTGTCAAATGTGGGCAGGTGGTGAAGGAGGGGCTAGCAGCACGGGTGGTGGACGAGCAACAGGTGGTGCGGCACTTCACAGACCGCGACCTGGACGGACTCTTCTCCCTCGATGATGAGCCTTCACACGCTCCACACCCCAACGGTCCGCACGCGGAGAAACACGCAGAGCAGCAGCAGGAGGGGGGAAGGAAGCAGGGCGGTGTGCAACAGCAGAAGGGCGAGAAGGAGGGAGGGCCAGGGGCAAAGCATAAACAGGGAGGCGGGATCGAGGGGGGGAAGGAGGGGGAGATAGCAGATGCAATTATGCGGAAAATCCTAGCAGATCACAAGGACAGGTGGGTTGCTTTCCCTCTCCCACACACCACCTTCCACAATACATCATCCTAGCCTTATCCTTGAAAAGTTGCGTCATGCCTCATGCCTCGTACCTCATGCCTCGTACCTCATGCCTCGTACCTCATGCCTCGTACCTCATGCCTCGTACCTCGTGCCGCCTCCACAGGCACCACTCTTTGCTGGGAATTCCTTTCCACTTCTCACATCATCCTCCCTGTGTATCCACACCTTTTCGAAACTGTGATGTTTCTCCAGGTGGATTGTCAGGTGGCATGAGCACGAGCCTCTGCTTCGGGAGGTGGAGCATCACCTGTCTAAGGAGGAGAAGGAGACAGCCATGAAGTCTTACTGTGATGCCGAGGATAAAGAGACCATGGAAAACACAAAAATGCTCTATCTTGGCTGCACGTACCAGCCCGGACAGTTCATTCTAGTCCCTCCGCTTGGCGTTCCTGGCCTTGCTACTGGTGGACATGGTGGGTTTGGTGGAGCTGCTGGTTTGGGGAAAGGCACGATGGGTAGATAGCTGCAATAACCGGTAATTGTGATATGTTTAGAACGTTTCTGGCTGATTGCTGGTTTGCCAGTTTTGTAAAATATGCTTACATAGTTATGGTGTGTGGGAGCTTATATACTCTGGTGTTTTTTCTGCACAGTAGATCGCTCTTGAGTATTATATCGAATTAATGAATCGATGCCTCGCGATCGCGTTGCAGCTGGTGTTCACCGCGTGGTCGAACCCGCTGCGTCCACCACGATTCATGTGCTCCTCTCCTGTCCACTAAAATCCTGTGACACCTCATCACGAGGTGCAATGATGTGTCGACTCGGAACCTGCTCTGAACAGCGACAGTCTCCTTGCGCCCTTGCACAGAACTGCCCAACCATAAGGGGCAAACAAGAATCTGTGGATAACTTTATGTGCTCCTATTGGTTGATTTATGAATTGGGGCAGGCAATTTGGGAGGTTGCAGATTTTCCTCGTCCACTCTCGTCTGGAAAGTCGAACAACAATCAGCAACGACATCCAAACGAAACCATTTCTGTACATACTGTACAGTGGAAACCTCGACAGTGTAGTTGTACAACACTGTACTACGCTGCTATATCAGCTATCACTATTTTGTGTTTAGACTCTGGCAACTGCATAAGACAACGTGTGTGTTTGGTTCCTGACCTGAAAAAAATCACTCTGCTGGGTGCATTGTTCCTGCCTCTTAGTTTCTTCTCCTCCGACTCGACAGGAGTTGCGCAAACTGGGCCATATTGCCATTTCGCTTGTGTGCCGCCCAGCTCTCCGCCTCCTGCGCTCTATCGCCATGGCTGTACCGGCGCACCTTCACGCACTTCCGCCGCTACCCCATCCTTCCGCACTCGCTTCCCCATCGCGCACGTCGCGCGCACTGGGCGCGCCGCAATGCACTCTGCCTCTTAGACGGCGGGTGCACGACTTTCTCAGCGGCGAGCCTGCGCGTAGAACAGGGAGCATCCATGGAGAATGGGATGGATCCGCGCAGCGAGGATTCCGGGAAGGAGGGCGACGCGCCGGCGGTAGGGAGTCAATAATCGCAGCGATTGGGGGATCTAGTGGGGGAACTGCGGCGCCGTCGCGTGGGCAAGGGAGCGGCGTCCCGCAAGCCAACCACATGTCAAGCTCATCCGACTCGGACTCTGACACTTCTCCTGCCCGTCAATCCCCCTCACTTTCCTCCTCCGCCTCCTCCTCCGCCCCCGCATCCGCATCCTCCGCTAATTCCGCCTCCGCGCGCCACCGGCTCCGCGGGCTGCGCGCCGATGACATCCGCCACCCGCTGGACCGCCAGAACACCGCGCTCCTGCGCGCTATTCCCGGGCTAAACGACCTGGGTCGCGTGCTCCTAGGCCCCGTACAGGAGCAGATTCTCGTGCTGGAAAATCTCGGGTCTGGAGTGCTCGTATCCCCGCAGCAGCTGCCGTCCCTCCACGCGCTAATGGAAGAAGCGGCCGTCGCGCTCGACATGCCGTCGCCGCCGGACCTATACGTGCGGCAGAGCCCCGTTCCTAACGCGTACACGCTCGCGATCAACGGTCAGAAGCCGTTTGTGGTGGTGCACACGGCGCTGCTAGACCTCCTCTCACCACTCGAAGTCCAGGCCGTGCTCGCGCACGAGTTAGGGCATTTAAAGTGCGAGCACGGGCTCTGGCTCACCTTCGCGAATCTCCTCGCGCTCGGCGCCGCGAGCTCTCTGCCCGGGTTCCTCGGCACGATGCTCGCGCGCGGGCTGGAGGACCAGCTGCTGCGGTGGCTGCGCGCGGCGGAGCTGACGTGCGACCGCGCGGCGCTGGTCGTCGTGCGCGATCCCCGCGTGGTCGTGTCCGTGCTGATGAAGCTCGCCGGCGGAAGCACCAGCGGAGGCGGAAGCGGATGGGGTGTGGGGCGCGCCGGGGGAGGCCCCGGGGGAAATGACTGGGGCTGGGCGGGGATGGGGGTAGCCAGGGCGGGGTCGTCCGCGGGGGCTGCTGGCGTAGGGGGGAATGAGGGCGGAGGTAGCAGAGGTAGCTGGTGGGCGGAAGAGCTGAGTGTTGACGCGTTTTTGGCGCAAGCGAGGTCTTATGACGAGGCTGCTAATAGCGGGCCACTTGCGTGGTACCTGCGGAACGCGCAGACGCGGCAGCTGGCGCACCCGTTGCCCGTCCTGCGCGCTAGAGAGGTGGACCGATGGGCTAGAAGCCCAGAGTTTAAGGTGCTGATGGGGCGAGGTAATGTTCCATCAGCAGGTATGGTGGGGGCAGCCAAAGGGGCAGGCGCTGGTGGTGGCAAAACTGCTGGGAGCAGTGCGGAAGCTTCTGGGAATGGCATGTCTGGTTCTGCTAGGAAGGACAGTGGAAGAACGATGGGTGGAGGGCAGTCAGGATTAGGGAACGAGATAGGGACTGGCCCGGCAAGGTGGAGGTCTGAAGGGACTGCTTTTAGAGAGGGACGGCCTTCAGGTTCAGGGAAGAGGGACTGGTGGAGCTGGTGAGTTCAGAAGGTCAGGAGAGCTGAACAGGACTGCTGAAATATTGTGTGCATGACTGGTGTATCGAAGTAGATGCACGAAGTTTGATTGCATTGCTTTCAATTGTATATGGCTGGCTTTTTTAGTAAATACTGTCAGGTCATTTGCTGGACTCTTTCTGAAACGCCTTGCTAATCGAGATTGCACAGTATAATATACCAATATATGTACAGTCATGAGAACCATCGTGTGAAACTGACTAATCAAATCTGTAATGCAGAGTACTAAACGCATCGGCTAGTGTCAAGTACAATCGATCCCTGCGAATTCTTTCCAGAATCAGCCCCGAGATTCATCGCCACGTCATTCACACCTGGTGAAACCTTGTTGACCTTCGACTCCCAAGCTCTCGTCATGTCCAATGGATACCGTGAACCGACAAACTTCAACGCTGCCCGTGAGTGAATCAAGCCATCATTGAATTTCACAGCTGCCCTAGCTGCCAGGTCAGCACAACACCCACCCCCAAACCAAACGGCACTGCGACCGCTAAATTCCCCGCGACCCTGCCACACGAAGACCTCCCCTTTCACAACAACTCCGAAAGGTCCCCGACCGAGCACGTTTGCGCTTTCCGACTCCGCGCGCGGACTCCCTCGCCTTGCTTTCTTGCTTCCTGGATCAGTCTACCGTCCGCCAACCTCCGCATCCCCCCTGCTTGTTGAACCAGATCACTGGCACAGCGCAGTGCGGTGTGCGCAAAGGCATTCCGCCGAATCGCACATTTCGTAATACAGTATCACTGGGCAGACGTTCACCTCATTGCGTTTTTCCTCCTGCCCCCGACCGACAAAAGCAGACGTTCGCTCACATCGGTCCACTCGAAAAATTACAGCTCCCTGCCAGCCCGCTTCACTCGCTGTTCTCCGCGCGTCACTCGCTCACTCCTCCCGACTCCCCAATCACTTCTGACAAACAAAAACCAAGACTGCTCGACGGTTCTTTCATTTCCTCGTCCACACATCGTGCACTCGAATTACTGAGTTCTTTCGTGCCGCAGCTGCTGGTCCATCCCCGCCAACAGCCAAGGAGGAGGAGGTCGATCATCCTGCAAAATCTTGCTGCAGCTGAAAACGACCGTCGTCAGCTCTCGTCGGGTCTATCGTCCCTCACCGAGCCGCGCGAAAACCTGTACGAATCCCGCTGCGTCGTCATGGCATCCATCGCCGCCACAGCCCTAGCGCCGACTGCGCGGCTCGCCGCCCCTCCCTCCGCTTCCGCGGCTTCTGATGCTTCTTCCGCCGGCGCGACCCCTCTTCTTCCGCTCCGCTCCGGATCATCCGGTCGTCCCCTCTCCCGCCAGAGCGCAGCGTTCTCCGCGCCTACTCCCGGAGAATTCGCGCAACCTTCCTCCGCTTCCGCGCGGGGGCGTCGAGGCGCGGTGCTTGTTCGGGCTGAGTCGGTGGAAGCCAAAGGGGCAAGAGAAGAGACACAACCTGGCGTGGCAGCGTCTGCGTATTCAGATTCCGAGGGCGAAGGTACGCCGCAATAGCCGTTTTTTCCTTCTTCTTCTTTTGTCGACTCAGATATTATCCCTACCGCTACAGCGCTAATTTCCCAAAACCAGTGAAGCAACCCAGATTCGCACCTAATACGCGCCCAATACGGACTTGAGCCGCACCTGAGTCACTTACAGCTGTAAGTGATTGACTGTGCACTCCACGTGATGCAAACGAGGTGTGATCTAACAGGAATTCGTCTTCCAGACCATTGTCATACCCGATTCTGCCGCCGCTCATTTCTTTCCTTCCCATACCCTCCCACCTCCCCCTGCCACCTTCCCCCCGCCTCCTTCCCCCATCCCCCTCCCCCCCCCCCCCCGGCCCCCGCATCAGACGCCTCCGCTCCGCGTCTCACGGTGGCGCAGAAGCTGCAGCTGCAGATGTCTTCCCCGACCTCCCTCCCCGACGGCACCACCATCCCGCTCCCCATCGGCGGGCGGCGGCGCGTGCTCTCCGCCTCATACCCGCTCGCCGCGTGGACGCCCGCGCAGAAGCGCAACCTGGCGCGCGCAACGCTGCTCAACAAGGTGGGGGAGCGGAACGACTCGCCGCTCTTCGCCACGATCGGCGCGCTGGTTCTCGGTCCCCCTGTCGTAATCCTTGCCGTCGCTTTTTTCTCCGGATACGTCGACTTCCTGGGCTGAACCTGTTCTGCCCGCAGTTGCCCTGACCCTTTCGCCAAAGCCTCCTAACCGTTGCTTTGGGCTTTCCGGGTGGGGAAGAGACGAGAGCGCGGGTGTTACGCTTGTAATCTGTAGTCTAGAGTGTGTGAAAGGTGTGTGGGTGGCATGCGTGATGGAATGGTTGCGCCTGACATGGCGTAGTACAAGGCACTGGTGATGGTGAGAGGCGGAACAGCTGAGTGGAGTGGGTTGCGGTGGAGTTGGGTGGACTGGGATGGAGTAGGGTGTTGATTACTCATCAATGGTCATTTCCTCGATAGTGACAGCCCAGTAGATAGTCCGGGCAGTGTAAAGAACGGAAGAAGCAGCTTTTGCCCGTACTGAGACACCGTGGCGTTGCTATCTGTTTTCTTTGGGAACTCCGGCTGATAAGGTAGTCAGATTATTCGAGAAGTCTGGATCAGTGCCTTGTATCTAGCATGTTACTACCGTATGCCCACTAGTTTGTGTGCTGTGTGTTACGTGTGTGCACTGTAGCTTGCTCCTGTGTGTTGATTTGTGTGTGTGTGGATACATGTGCAATAGAGAATGATTTGACTGATGACTATCCACCTTTAGATGTTTTCCAGTAGGGGTGAAGTCACCAGATTTCCTAACTTGACAATGAAAGAGCCTGGAGGTAATGCAACGAACAGACCCGGCTGAGATTATGTTACCCTTGTTAGTTATAGATGTGAGCTTTACACGTACGAAAACCTCATCCTGTGTACAGTTCATTCACTCACATGCACACAAAACGTACACCATCAATCTGATGCTCAGGTTTCTACAACTCCCAACAACTTGAACATCAGCTCAGACGCCAAGACCAGCCTGCATTTCTACAGTTTCAGCGAGGAATGATTATTGGCATCCCTCTAAAACATCCACACGCACTGTTCAACTAGCAAAGATTACATATACTCGTACCCTATGCACACTTCAACTTTCTTCCCTCGATTGCCACACACATCACATCCTGGCCTTTCTCCAGTTTTCCCTGCCCACCATACGCCTCCAGTCGCTCAGACCTCCACCCCCAATTGATGCCTCACTTACCCTTCTAAGCCGCCTCAGAAAAACAGCAGCAGCGGAATGGGCCTTGATGAAGCAGCAGAACCATGAATCGGGCTAGCTAACAGCAGCAGCAGTACGAGTCACGCAGACAGGACCGTGAGTTATCCGGCTGGCGAATCATGATCAAATCTCCACGTCAGTGGTGGTGGGGTGCCATGCTGACGTGGTGGGTTGCCATCTGGCCGGCATGGAGAACAGCACCAACCCTCCCGTCTTCATCTCCTCCTCCCCCTCCCCCATCTCCACCTCCCCTGCCCCTCTCCCACTGCTCCCTGCACCACTACCCACCCTCTCACTCCCCGTCCCCATGCTACCCCACCCTGCTCCTCTCCACCCGCCATTGCCTCCGCACCAGTTCCTAACCCTCTCCCATACCCCGTGCCCTCCCCACGACCCTCCCCAGTCGTTCCCTTGCAAGCCTCCTTCCCATGCACCCCCTCCCTCACCTGCTGCCCCTGCTTCCTCATCCCCGCCCCCAATAGCCTCGCCTCTCACCCCTCCTCCACTTCCGCTCAAGCCAGAAGCCATAACAGCATCTATAGTGCGGGATTGCTGACATAGAGAGCAGCTGGTACAGCAAAACATCACGCAGAAATCCTCCGCTCCCGAGCCTCGGATCCCGAGCCTCCGCCGAACGTCCGCGCGCCACTTCCCGAGCCAGAACGAAAACCCGATGATCGCACCCCACATCGCCACACTCTGCAGGAACAACGCCCAGCCGGAAATCTGAAGCTTCCCTTCCGCATCCCGCCACCCTCCCCCGACAATCTGAAAGAAAAAAGTAACAAACCCCACGAGGAGAAACAGCACCAGGAACTGCACGCCGGCTCTAACCCCGTCACCTAGCCGGGCGCGATTCACAATCCTCGCGAAGGTGATACAGGGGAGGACTGCGGTGATGGCGCAGAGCGGGAGGGTGTCGTGGAACCAGCACTGGCAGAGGCCGCCTTCCCAGTCGCGTGTGTGGTTGTCGTCTTTGAACTTGAGGCGCACCACATGGTCGTCTGACTCCCCGTCGTTGCCGTCCCCTGCCACGTCCTCCAGGCTCCTCGTGATGTCGATGCCGCTCATGGTCTGTGGAGGGGTATGTGTGGTGCGGTGGGAGGAAAGGGGTGAGGCGAAAGGGGAGAGGTAGCAGATGGTTTTGACCTGCTGCTGATGTTGATGCCAGTTGCGGTCTGTGGTGGGGATGGAGAAGGGGGAAGAGGGGAGAGGAGAGAAGAGGGAAGAGACGAGAGTGGAGAGGGGAGGAGGGAGAGGGGAGAGGCAAGAGGGGAGAAGGGAGAGTTAGCAGATGCTTTTCTGCCTGCTGGTGATTTTGATGTCAGTTGCGGTCTGCGGTACGGACGAAGAGGGGGGAAACAGAAGGGAGAACGAAGGGGAAAAAGTCGGATGATGAGTGGAAGGAGGCAAGGGCCCTTCATGTGATGCTCGTGATGACAATCCAATATCCAATTAAGACATAGACGCGGCTCTAGGCTTCTCGTTTCATCAGTGACAGCCGTGGTCTGCACTGCAATCGGAAGAAAGGAGAGGGAACGGATTCGCCGTGGTTGATAGTAATGCCAATCCCGGAATTTGAGGACCCCCAAAATACGTCGTATCTGCTAGTGATGTAAATGCCGGTCAAGGACTGCAGCATTGAGGGAGGGAGAAAGCAAGGGGACGCGGAAAGGAGAGACATGGATAGAAGACGAATAGTGTCAGGAGAAAAAGGTGGGAGGAGGGAAGGGAGGACAGAAAAATAAGGAGAGGAGAAGCACGAGGAGGAGGACGGCAGGATTGGGGGGATGTGTTGATTTATTGATAATGTCTGAGGAGTTAATCGCTAATGCTTGACAGAAGGAAGGAACGGAAGGGAACAGCAGACCAGAAGTCAGGCAAGGGAACAACGGCGAATAATGCCGACGGGAATCACTGTCAGAACAAGCCGATTCGGGCTCAGATTTTTTTAACTACGCTCGCATTCCACGAGATCAGCATACCACGATGCTCAGCATACCATGGGATACTCTGGCGCTATCAGGCTCGTCCTTTCCCCTTCAGCCACTGCTGCAGCCGCAGCAGCAGCAGCGGACGACGCGGTAGCCGCTGCGATGGCCTCCGCCGCTGCCGCTGCTGCAGCTGGCGACCTGTCGTCGATCGTCGCTTTCGTCGCTGGTTCGTCGCGAATCTCATCGTCGCCATCGCCGTCGTCGTCGCGACGGTGACCACTCTCGTCGTTAATCGACACGGTTTCGAATTCCTCGTCCAAAGTTCCTTCCGAGACCTCCGCTGGTTCTCCGATGCGCGGCCCCTGCGCCTGCTGCTGTTGCTGTAATGGCGGAGAAATAGATCCAGAAGTAGACTCTTCCTCCGTTACCTTGCCAACGATCACCATGTCATCAAGTATGTCGGACATGGCTCCTTGGTTCGGACCAAACACTCTTCCAAAACAACACCAGCAAGGTTGCTTGCTTGCTAACGCAGGCGTTAATGAGTATCGAATATCGACGGGCTTGAATCTGGCTTGGAAGTGAAATGAGGAGGGCTCTTGAGTTCTCCAGAGTTTGACGTTGTACGAGGTTGGAAACAACCATTCGACCTGCTAAATGGCATCCATGGCTTGTGAGACGATCTGGGAGACAGGACGTGAGCTGTCAGTCTGTCTGCATGATGCCATGTGTTGGACAGGTGATGTGATACCCTATAATTGTTGGTAATACTTGATAATCGTTTGACAGCTTTCTCAGCTGCAATTGCAATGGTTCGACTGTAACAACACAAGAGCTAGGGGACTATTGTTGATTTACCATGAACCATCCAGGTAGGCAACATAATGCTTGCTTCTTGTATTTTCACGACTAGTCTCCTGGTTTGGCTTCTAGGGTACCTAGGCATGAAAAGCCACAACATATCTGAGGCAATGAGAAAATGATTCAATCTCCACACAATCACAGAACTGCTAAACCTAAACTGGGGTTGAAGAATCGATGCTCATCCGGAAACCAAACCGCAAAGATCCGGCTCCTCCAGTCCCCTGATTAAAGCCGTAGTGCAGCCTGAGCATTGGAAATAGGTGCATCCGCAAAACCATGAAGCACTCAAGACTCTCGATACTGTCATGAACACTCAAAAGAATGCACCGATAGCTGGGGAGTCACACAAAGAGGCATCGCTCCTAGGAAATATCCCAAGGACGTTCAGATCCGATCCACCTTGTCAGCCTTCACGACGGGATTTGCTTTAGCAATCAAAGCACGGCCTGCCGTTTTGTAATCGAAGTTGCACTCATGTCGATCAGAGTAACGATGCGCCGAGCAGAAAACACCGTCGCAGCGACACTTAAAGCCGGTGAGACCCACGCGACGGTTGCACTTGCCGCAACGGTTCACTGGACGAGGAGGCGAGCAGTGCGAAGACACAGCTGAAGAGGCGACGGATCCTCCTGCAGCGGCAGCGGCAGCAGATGACGCCGCTCCAGAACACCCAGATCGTGCTGCTCCAGGAACAGCAAGCGATGTGAAGGTAGTGGAAGACGGTGTGCCCAGAGACGGTGACGAGCTTGACTCTCCGAGACTCTCGGTGGTACGAACCAAAGACGCGTCCATAGCAGAAGACGTTGCTTGATGAGCAGATGTTGTTTGGGGAGCCGAAGATCTGAGGGATGGTTCAGGGACAGCCGTGGCTGATGCCGAGATTTGAGGACTGGAAGAAGGCGGTGCTGCGGCTGTTGCTGCTGTTTGCATGGTTTTAGCTATATGTGCGGTGTAACACTTGGAGCACATGTTCAGGGTGGTGGCACTGCCGAAGAAACCGCAGTTGTTCGCACATAAGATGCCACGGTCGGACTGCTGGCAGCCGGCAGAGCCCTGCTCCCTGTTCCACCCGTCCTGGGCCATGGGATAATGACTTAACAAAACGCGAGAACCTAGGCTTAATCACAGAAGGTTAAGAAGAGCTAGAGCAGATCTAAGGAAAAGAGCCAAACGCGGACAAGGAAAATGTGCGAGATCTGGGATAAAAATGCCTACTAGAGTTCTGATTTTGCTGGAAAGAGCGACCAACCGAGGGAATATAAAGCAGAGGGTGCAAGGTGAGCAAGGTGATGGGGGTGGTGCACCCACCCGCACGCAAACCCAGCAACAACGGAGGACCCTTCACCCAACTGAAACGCGCAACCGATCGAAGCAACTAGTGCTGCCGAGTGCACAGTACACGCGGCACGAAGGAAAGAAGGTTGCAGAAGGATGTGGTAGGTTCGGCGGAGGTTGATGTAAAGGGCAGTTCTGGTTCGGTGTCTCGGTTCGGAAACGTTGGTGGGGTGAACGCGGCGAAGGGAAGTTGGGGAAGGCAGGTCGAGGAACTCGGTGGGGTGGAGACAATCGGTGGTTTGGTTTCCGTTCCATGGCAGGGTGTGGTGTGGAGGAAGGTGAAGGCGACGCGGTGAGGCTTGTTGGTTGCATTGCGTGCAATGGGTGGGTGATGTTGATGTGATGTGACGCGATGCAACGGCCAAGGTGAGAGGATGGACGCGATAATCCGATCCGAGGATGATGGGCTTGGATGGATGGGATGGGATGGAAGCGGATGGAATGCCCTCACTCGACCAGACACCTATCAACAAATGGATGTACAATCCAGCTGCTGTATCATGGTGGCTGTGGTTCGGTTCGGAAATACGGGATGACATGTCTAAAATTATGGGTTCCAGCAAAGACAACCTTCATTTGTGAGGGTGGATTAATTTACCCTGAAACAATAAAGGTTCCCGTAAATGAGGGCGCGAGTCGGGGGATGTGCGAGGGAACCGGGCATCGGCCTGACACCATCATGCAAAACACAAGAACGACCCTGCCAATTATCCATTTTTTCGTAAGCTCTTTGTGGTGGCTGCGGTGACTCCTAAGCCCTTGGACGTTGGACATCGGATGGGTGGACGCTAACGGAAGTTGGAACGGAATGGGGACGTGGGTCGCTACGGGAGTCCCTACGATTCGTTCATTTTCCTCTCGAGCTTACCTCTCTCGCAATTGCTGATTGGTGGTAGCCAGGACGACTGCTTAGGAGGAACATGATTTGCAGGAGCACTGAAGACTAGCTCCACGCGGCATCACTCTCGGTTGCTGTTAACACGTGTAATGCCAGTTCGTTTTTGCCCCACGCAACCAAGACTACCAGGCTGCCTCGTGTTGGCAGAAACGCTCCCAGGAGTTTGTGAGGTGAAGTGAAATGTACAGCTGGGTCAAGCGTTGGGTTGGGGAGGGTGGGATTGAACTGTGGATTCCAGTACAGTTCACTTCAAGCCGTCGATGCTGACTTTTACTGTAGCACCGTCACATTACCTTCCTCGAAAGTACTTGCGATTCTTGGTGACGACAAAGCGCCAAGCTTTGCTGAGGAGTTTCTGGTTCTGATAGCGACTGGGATTTGGGGGGAGCTTGTCAGAGTTTTCGGTGCTGGTCGTATCGAGTCTCTGCTGTTGTGCACACTGCTTTAGTATGTTCTGTATCATTGTTACGAATCGCCGCTAGCAAAAAAGAACACAGAAAAGGGAAATCGGAATTTCCATAGCGAGGATCCATACCTCCTAGCTGTGGTCATGCTCCTTTTCTTCGCAAAACTTGCAACACCCACCTCTTGGTGTTTGTGTCGTCAAGGTCCATGAACCGTAGAAGCAATCTCCAAGTTGCTGGGTGCTTCCTCGATCGAATGGTGGTGGTGAATCCACTTACCACGTGGACGACCTTCAGGTCTCCACGGGGACGCTTTCAGGGCTGCTCGTGTGAACTGCGGGGCCAAGAGAAGTGCTGTGAATATCCTCATGGTGACGTGACGATGACCCCAATACACCCCCATTATGCAGTGGAAGAATACTGAATTATCCTTTGTACAAGGTGTAGACTTAAACGCAGGAAATATATGAATTCGGATCAACACTGGTTTCTATCGCACCGAGTCCTGAAAGCATACCGCATTGGCGTTCCAACAGGCTTGACGTTCGGAATTTAGTGTTTTTCTTACTAAATGACGGAAACATCTTGAGTCCTGAGTCTTAATGTCGAACACATATTTTGTCCCAAATGTTTGTCCCATGCCAAGGTGATGGAGGGTGCGTGGAGCATATCCCGCGCTCAGGATCTTTATTCCTGTAATGCTCACAGTTTTCCTAAAATGGCCAAGTTATTGAACTAATCTTCACCACCCTCAGTCCACCGCCGGCCCGCAAGACCCGACCTTGGCAATCTTGAACATTCTCTCCGTGAAGTCTCCCGTTCTTCCACGCTTCCCTAATACATCACCACCCAGAGTCCATTCACCAAGCGCGATCCCGCTCAAAGTACCACGAGGCTACCAATGGAGGTGTCGTGTCGGCCAGCAATCCTCAGAAGTCCCATCGCGTCGTCCCTGTCAACAGTAGCTCGACGTGTGTCCTCACCATCCTTCTTCCCCTCATATTCCGCGACTACCTCTCTTCACACTCCTCCATTCCTAGGTGCCAGTGCTTCCTGTAACTCACGTATACAGGTATTGGGTGTCTCTTCCGCTGCGCCTTGCGCTGCGACTCTTAGCATCGCTCAGTCAGAGATCAACGGCTCGCGGCTATTTTCAAGAGGCTCCAATGCAATCACTCCCGCTGCGACCTCTCACTCTAGACATCGCCTCCCGCGATGGCGACGTGGTGGTAACCAGCTCGCCCGCGTTACTGTTACAGCTGCGGCTGCAGCAGAAGGCGGGCCCGGAGGAGGGGAAATGGAAAATGCAGGAGTTAGCAGCAGCAGCGGTAGCAGCAGCGGCGACAGCAGCAGCGGGAGCACGGGAGCAGGAGGCCTTGGAAGCAGCAGCAGCAGCAGCAATGGTAGTGGTGGTGTGTCGAGCAGGAGTGAGATCAGTGGTCGGGAAGCGGGATCCGCGACGAGTGAGGCGCAACAACGAGAGGAGCAGCAGCAGATAGAGGAGATTCTCGCCGTGTTGGAACAGCAGCTTAAAGACGCGACCGCGGAGGAGGTAAGCTTACTAACTCTCGCAGGCATCCTGTTCCAAACGCTTTTTCGCCTCTTCTCTTCAGCACGCCACTCCCTTCCGTTTCTAAGCTGTGCTTTCTCGTTTCTCCCTGGCGCTTCGCCTCCTAATCCCCTGCTCTCCCCGTCTCCCCGTCTCCCCGTCTCCCCGCTCCCGACGCTTCGTCTGACTCTACGCACAGAATTACCGTGAAGCAGCTCGTTTGAGGGACGCGATTCGGGAGGTGAAAGCGCGTGATCCGGTGCGACGACTGCAGCAGCAGCTGGAAGCCGCGATCGCGGGGGAACGGTACAAGGTAAGACCCGATATAATCTGCGATTTGATATAACACGGGATTCGATATAATCGGGCGAAATGCGGGTTAATTGCGCAACTGAGGACCGGAGAAAAAAAAATTGAAGCCGTGAAACAAAGGACCCCAAAAAAAACAAACAAACAAACAAACAAACAAACAAACAAACAAACAAAAACAAAAACAAAAACAAAAGCAAAAACGACAGCAATTGCCAAAGAAAAAGGAGATGACGCATTCGAGAGCATGAAGCTGCTGTACGAAGCCGTAATGGCGAGTGGGGGGGAGATGGATTCCTAGGTAAAAATATTCAGAACAGACCTGAAGTGGAGCCAGGCCAGGCCATGCCATGCCATGCCAGAAATATCACAGAGGTTAACCGTCCAGTGCCTATGCCGCGTTTCCATTCCCCCTTCACCCACCTCTGGTTCACCCCCTTCCTTCCTCACTTCACCACCCTTCCCCCCGGTCTCTCACTTCCCCTTCCGCCTACTCTTCGCGGAGTCCCACTCATTCAGCTCGTTTTCCCTTATTTCTCCCCGCGCGCCTGTCCGCGCGCCCCTCGCCCCCCGTGTGACTCCCCGCGCGCCATCAGGAGGCGGCGACGCTCAAGGAGGAGCTTGCGCGGATAGCCCCGCCCCCGCCTCCTCCGCCCGCCCTCCCTGCTTCTTCCTGCACCAGCGACACTCTCACTGAGGTGCGTATCCGCGTTCTCCCATGCTTCACGTTCTCTGAAGCGCCCATCCACGTTCTCCTCCTTGCTGCGTCACTGCCTGTACCTGCTCCCATCCCTGCTTCACTTCACTTCCCGCCACCCTTTCCCCATCACTCCCCAATCTCCCAGAGAGCGCGAGTCTCTTTCGAGGCGCCTCGACTATAAGAAATCCTTGAATGCAAGGACGTTTAAAAAAAAAGTCATCCCAAATCCATGAGCGTTTTCCCAGGGAGTGCGAACCATGGTGCACTGTGTGTGCGCCTCTCCAATCCCCTTATCCCCCTCCGTCCTCCTTTTACCCCCCATTCCCTCCCCCGCCCCTCCCCCCATTCCCTCCCCCGCCCCTCCCCCCATTCCCTCCCCCGCCCCCCCCCCCTCCATTCCCTCCCCTCCACCTCGTTCTCAGGGGGTGCGGTGGTGGTGCCCAGTGTGTATGTAGGTGACTTTTGAGTCGATTCAAAAGACTTTTGATTTGACTTTTGAGTTGACTCAAAGTCAGGGGGTGCGGTGGAGGTGCCCAGTGTGTATGTGCATCATCTCACTGCGCATCCCTTATCCCCCTCTCACTCCCACCCACCCTTTACCCCCCTCCTCCCGTCGCCCTTTCCCCCTCCTCCCCTTGCCCCCCCAGGGTGTGCGCGTGGTGGTGCGCAGTGTGTATGTGCGGCATCGCAGCGACCCCATCCGCTCGCACTTCATACCCGCGTCACCTCCTCCTCTCCACTTCGCATCCCAATATCCCCCACCCTCCCAACCCCCTTCCGCCCCCCAGGGAGTGCGCGTGGTGGTGCGCAGTGTGTACGTGCGGCACCGCAGCGACCCCGACCGCTCGCACTTCTTCTTTGCGTACCGCGTGCGCATCACCAACGAGGGCTCTCGCGTCGTGCGCCTCATCAGCCGCCACTGGCTCATCACCAACGGCAAGGGGCGCGTGGAGCATGTCAGGTGGGTGCGGTTGTGTGGGGTGGAGAATTCAGGTGGGCGAAGCACGTGCACGGGGGTTGGGGGGGAAATATTTCTGTGTTCAAATCAGTGGCACAGGTGTTCATCAGATGGCAACGCGTCAGCCGCCACTGGCTCACCACCAACGGCAAGGGGCGCGTGGAGCAATTCAGGTGAGCGCGTGGGGACTTCAGGTGGGCGCGTGGAGCACTTCAGGTGGGCGCGTGGAGCACTTCAGGTGGGTGCCGGCATCGGCACGTGCATGGGCCCGGGGGGGTGGCTTACAGCTATGTCATAAGGTAGTGGCAGGATGACACATCAGGTGGCAACACGGACGGCAGCCGCCACTGGCTCATCTCATCACCAACGGCAAGGGGCACGTCAGGTGGGCGCTTGGGGAATCCAGGTGGGCGTGAATACAGAGTGAATCTCCAATGTGAATACAATACCCTTGGTGTGCTGCATTCGAGAGTGGGATTCACCAACGGTTCTCGTCAGCCACCATTGGCTCATCACGAACTGCAAGGGGCGCGTGGAGCACTTCAGGCGGGTGGGAGCGCGTCAAGAGGGAGAGTGGAGGATGGAGAGTTGTATTCAACGTGTTGGGAGAGCTGGGAGAAGGTCATGTGCAATCCTTCGATTGATTCTCCTCTGAGTTATGAGAACACATATTTGATTAAGATTAGTTCTACACCCCATACCATACCATTCACCCACTGCATAAAAATCCCTCTCTGCTGTCACCCTTTGCTCTCCCCATATCATTCACACCCTGCCCACCTCCCTCCTCTTCCCTACCTACCCGTTTTCTCAAACTCTGCTGCAATCTACCTTCCGTACCTCTGCTTCTCCCGTCCCCTTCCCTCTTCCCACCGCCCCCTGCTCTCCTCGCGGTATAACAACAGGGGCCCTGGAGTGGTGGGGCAGCAACCGGTGCTGCCGCCAGGGGCATCATTCGAGTACACGTCTGTCTGCCCTCTAGACACTCGCAAGGGAGCCATGGTAACCACCCTCCCCCCCCAACCAACAGCACCACCGCCGCCACCGCCGCCACCACCACCACCACCACCACCACCACCACGACCACCTATCCTCCTCCTCGCGCTCTCCCTCCCCCCTCGCACCACCCCCGCCGCTGCCTGCGCCCGCCGCCTCTCCCTGCTGCCTCCGCATGCCCTGCCAATGCTCCTCTCTGCTCACCTGGGTTCCATCACTGGCTTTGCTTCTTTACACGTGTTTTCACACACCCATGCACATGCACCATATCTGTCTCATGGTGAAATGAATGGACGTTGTTCACTTGGTGTGCTGATAATGCTGTATGCGGCTAACTTGTGTGTGGCGTTGCTTGCTTGCTTGCTTGCTTGCTTTCCTGTTTACAGGAAGGCGAGTTTGAGATGGTGGACGTCGCAACATCAGCTGCTTTCGAAGTCAAGATAGGCGCTTTCGCCCTTGACGTGGATCAGGATGGCTTCTGATCAGCAGTATACATACAGTGCAGTACACCTATTTTTGTCACACCTCTTAGGTGGGTACATTATTTGCTTGTGCATGTGCTAATGTTCAATTCTCCTCAGCTGCCATAACGAGTCACTGTAATGCTGCTTGCTCAGCGAAAATACACTCAATCAGCAATGGCTACAACACCATATGAAGAGCGGGCCACATACCTTAAAGTCGCACAAACACAACCGCATGATTGTGTAAAGCTGGGTAACCTGCATTGCACTTTTGGGTCTAGAACTAAGGTATGGTACGGTAAGTGTGCCCCGCCCCCCCCATGGGTTCTCCAAATGTACCGTATGGCCCCGGATATGCGCCGTTCGATTAAAGGCGCCGGCGCCTCTATCTGGAGCATGGCGCTTATGGCCGGAACTCGATTATAAGCGCACCCCCTGAAATTTCTATCCTTATTATAAGCGCATCCCTTAACCTTTCATTGGAGGCATTACAAAAGATAACACTAAACTGTCACTTTTTCTAAGCAACATCAGATCAAACTACAGGTAGATCTCCTAACAACAAGTTTAGCCGGGGTACTTCTACCTAACATGGATCATACAGTACCCCTCCTACTCCTCGTCAGATTCGGGCTCCTGGCAGTTGTTGCCAAAAAAACCATCAGCGATGATGTCATCGTCGACATCCACTTCCGCTGTCAGCTGGCTACGCCTGTGCGCCATGGCGAGTCCGTCCTCACTGCCGTCAAGCTGGTTGCTGATGCCACAGGTGAGGAAGGCACGCATGATAACGTCGGGCGGCACTGCCCGCCAGGCCTGAGATATCCACCGCAGTACGACCTCAGCTGAAGGCTTCTTCAGGTTCCCTGACACATTACAGGAGAACGGTGGAAAGCCGTTAGTGCATCTAAAAAGAATTCGGTGAGGGGGAGTACAACAATACCGTACTCATGCCATACCTGCCGCTGTCAGCTGCGCTTGCCTCTCTGCCTCAAACCACCTCTGGTACTGCTGGCGGACCGACGCCTTAAAACTCTTGTTGATGGAGACATCGAGCGGCTGTACCTCCGCCGTACAGCCCGACGGGATGATTGCCGGCACGCAGTTCATCTCGCGGAGCTTCTCCTTCACCTCCTCGGTGAGGTGACCGCGGTAAGAATCCAGCACCAGCATCGAGCTCTTGGCGTGTCTGCCGAACCGAGGCTTCGAGAAAGGCTTGACGCCCTCCTCAAGCCAGCGAACGACGCCAGCGGAGTCCATCCACCCGTTCTCGTGACAAGCCACGACCACATCTGCACGAAACACGTACGGGTGGTTAGAATTCGCACTCACAACATAACGCCGTTAACGAGGAGTGCACCTCTTTACTTACCGGCAGGGAAATCGCCCTTCGGCAAGGTTTTGCGCTTGAAGAACACCCACGGCTTCAGCTTCCTTCCGTCCGCCGCGCACGCCAGCATCACGGTCACTCTCTGCTTCTGATACCCCGCACTCCTGTTAGGCACCGAGCGAACACCCGTTTCCTCCACGGTGGTGGTGGCGGGCATCTCCAGCCATAGCGGCGTCTGGTCCGCGTTGATGATCCACGCGGTGTCGATGCCGCGCTCTCGACACTTGGCACGCACGAACTTCCAGAAGCTGCGGCACTGCTCAGCTACATCTGTACAGTGGCAGAAGAGAGGACGGACAAAGACGGAGGGTGTTAGTACAAATATACAAAAACCACGTGGCAAGTTAATCGGGATATTTCTTACGCGCGGCGGTTTTCTGGGCAACCCGGGTCTTCATGCGGACGCTCAAATTCCATCGACGCCGAAAGCGCTCCGACCACCTCTGGCTTCCTTTCCACTTCTTGTCCGGGTACAGAATCTTCATGAACTCCCGCGACCACTCCCGCAGGCGGCCGACTGACACGGCAGTTCCCTTGCGGCGCCACTCGAGCAGCTTCTCGTACACCTTCAACTCCATCGGCCGGTACCAAGACGCTCGCCCGCGGCCGTGCATGCGCTTCCGAGCGGAGTGAACTTCCTTGAGGAAATCCGCCGCCCGCTTCCAGTTGGTGAGGCATTTGCGGTGGATTCCGCTCTGGCGAGCCAAGGCGCGCACCGAATCCGCGGCAGCAAGCATAGCAACCCACTTCAACTTCTCCGCGGCGGTGTAACCTTGCCGCTTGTGCTCGGTGACCTTGTGCCTGGGAGAGGGGGGGCGGGCATCACGGTTCTGTGAAGAGGGGTGGGGTCGCTTGCGATTAATCGGAGGATAGGTGGGCATGGGCAGTTCCTCGGGGAGCCCGTCGCGTGACCAGTACTCAACGCCGTCGTCGTCACCGTCGCCCGTAACACCTTCTGGAAACACATCCTCAGCGGTGCCGCCCTCGGCGCCGCCTCCAGCGGAAGCCTCCGTGTCACCCTCGGCGCCGTCAGCGCCGCTCTCTTCCTCAGCGTCAGCAACATCATCATCGGCGCCGACTGCAGATTCGTCCCAAGGGCAATCGTCGGGCTGTCCCCAACGTCCTCCAGGCACGTGGCCCACTTCCACTTCAACATCTTGCGCGTTGTTAGACTCCGGTTCGGAGAGGAATTCGTCAAACGCCGATGGAAGCAGCAGCGTGAGCACGGGCTGATTGCCAGTGTGTAGCGGAGACACAGGATCCGGAGGCGAAGGAGGAGCAGGAGGCGCAGGAGGTGCAGGATGCGAAGGAGGAGCAGGAGACGCAAGAGGCGCAGGAGGCGCAGGAGGCTGTGGTGGCTCTGGTGGTTCAGGTGGGATACGGGAGTACCACCCGTCAGCGTCTACTCTAAACGCGGGCCTTCGCGTAGGCTTTTTCTTGAACAAGAAGTGGGTGCCGCTGATTTCCGCCATGGCTTCCGCAGCCAGGCGAGAACGACCAAGAAACTGAACGAGAAACTGAGAGAAACGGAGAACAAATGAGAGATTCAAAGGGACCCCTTCTGGTTAGCGCCTCGGGGTCCTCGTCGGGGAGAGACGGGTAACCCCTGTCTGAACCCGGAGAGGAGGGTATCGCGACACGAAGATGCTGCGCTGGCAGGGCATTCCAGCCCCTTCTCGATGGTTCGGGTGAAATGCAGCTGCCTGCCAGTGCATGAAAGCCTGATTGGGCCGCAAGGCAACTTTCACGTCAGCGCTGGCAGGTGCGCTGCTCCTGGACGGGATTTGTGCGGTCGGGAATCGAAGCGCAGCAGTTTTCGGCGGGTTTACATGCATTATCCCACGCACACGTTACTCAATTGTGTTCGCCTTATTGTGGGCTTCGATTTGGTACATAAAAATAACAAATTCATTTTTGCCATGATATAAGCGCCGGCGCTTATGGCCGTTATTCAATTACAAGCGCCACCCCTAAAAAAATTGATTTTATTATAAGCGCATATGCGCCTATATCCGGGGCCTTACGGTACGAGTCGAGGAAAGGTGTTGCAGCCACTGCCTTCACACACGGGGCTGCTGTTTACTGCAGGAAAATCTTCTTCTAGCTCTCATTAGAGTTGGCACTGAAATAAGGCTTTGTGAGAATATACGGTATATACGGGTATATATTTTTTTATAATCAGTTTTCTCATTATTTTTTCCTCCCCCGCCTCCTCCCTCTCCCACTCTTCCCTCCCCCCCCTGCCTGCTTTCCATGCCTGTGTCTCTGCTATGCCCCTGTTGCAATCTACTGCTGGCCGTCAAAGTAGCAGGAGAACAACAAGGCACGGCGCACGCACAGGCAGCATGAACGCGCGGCGAGAGGGATACGGATGAGCTGAGAGAAAGGGATACGGATGAGCTGAGAGAGAGATACGGATGAGCTGAGAGAGAACGGACCAAGTGAAGGATATCAGTGGGACGAACATGGCATGCGGTGCAACGGCAGTGCAGGGCATGCAGGCGCATGCGCAGGCGGGCGCACACACCTTGAGGTCGTGGATGTGCGAGTAGTCCATGCAGTCATACTAGGGCAGTATGATCTCCACCAGCTGCTGCTATGCCAGCCAGCGGCCACAATGCACGCATGCATGCGGGCATGCTCGCACGCACCTTGAGGTCGTGGAGCGGGGCCATCTGGTGGGAGGTGGTACTGCGCTGCCCTAGTCCATGCAGTCGTCCTAGGGCAGGGCAGTACCACCTCCCACCAGATGGCCCCGCTGCTGCAACGCACACGACAACCCGGTTACCACGTCTGCCAGCCCTCCCTCCCACCTGCCACAGGACATGGAGGGGTGTGTGTGCGCGTGTGTACTTGGCTGCACGGCGCACGCGCAACACTCACTCATTCGCCGCGATAACAGACATGCTTTCAACCCCAAGCAAGCAACCCTGCCACCACTCCGCTGCCCTGCTCAACCACTCACCCGCCTCCCCCCATGATTCTCCCCAACCCTGCCACCAGCATCCTCCTCGCCCCTCTCCGTTGTGGAACCCCGTTCCCCATGAGTCCAGCGCACCTTAGCAACGGGAGCCATCTCTGCTGCTATGTGCACCACGTGCAGGGGTCGCCTGGGGGAATCACGGAGCACACACAGGCCGGAGGGGGGGGAGGGGAGGGGAGGGGAGGGGAGGGGAGGGGGGGGGGGAGGGGAGGGGAGCAATGTGCAAGGCAGTATGAGGGACGGGTGAGAGTGGTGCAGAGAGCTGCGCGCTGTTGCCCCTGCATGCGGCAACTGACTAAAGCGGTGGGGCGCGAGAGCAGGGGCAGCAGCGGGCAGGGAGGGTGGTGGATGATGACAGGTTCGTTCCTACAGGGAGGGTGGCTGGCCACAAGTACAGCTCTGCGCACTTGACCATGGCGAGTACGACTCACTTATGCAAGCGCAGCGCACACAGCCCATCTGGTAAACACCCCAGCCATGCAAGCGCAGCGTGTGAGCGCGTGGGCTTCTTCTCTCCATCTGTCCTTGGGATTATCCGCCAGCACTCCTCTCAGCGCGGCCGCCACCACTGCATCCTCCACCCCACCGCGCCCGCTCTCTTTTCGCCCGCCCCTCCCCTCTCCGACCCGCCACTCTCCAGCGCGGCGCGCACCACCTGGGCGCCCCCCACGGACTCCCACGCCTCCTGCATGCGCGCGCCGCGGCGCCACACCATGGCCCTGAGCGTGCGCGCGTCATGCGGCACGAGGTCCTGCCGTGCAGCAGCAGCGACTGGTCCACCGTGAGAAGCAGCGTGCCCCACCTTTCCCCACCGCGCCTTGCGCTCAATGCGCTCCTTCTCCGCGCGCCCCGCCTCCTCCTAAGGCTTTTCATTCACTGCTTGCTTGCCTCTGTCGGGCTATCCCATACCTGCGCATGCCACACGAGACACCCGCCTCCCCGATCCAAACAGCGTCCCGCTCCGTGATCGCGTCGCGACATCCGCTGCCAACGGTGCTCAAAAGGTAGTGTCGTGTTCTGCTCATGCTCTTGTTGCTTAGTCTAACGAAGGCTTTTCGTTCACTGCTTGCCTCTGTCGGGCTATCCCATACCTGCGCATGCCACACGAGACACTTGCCTCCTCGATCCAAACAGCGTGCGCTCCGTGATCGCGTCGCGACATCCGCTAAACTGCCATGCACTCAGGCTGAATGACTGCTGGATGCAAGTTGCAACTGTGATTGGAGCAAGAACTGTCGAACATAACGCGCAGGTAGTATAGTTGTTCGTGCCTTCGGTTACAACAGACGATGAATCTTAGTTAATCCGTAAGTCTTAAATATAGAAACATCGCGAAGTTCCAGTATCGTAAACTATAAATAAGCATACAAGTCCACAGAGCGTCGCGAAGCTCCTATGTGATGAACTACTACAGCCAATGAGCCGCTTCAAGTGTTGAACCGCTTCAAGTGTTGAACCGCTTCAAGTGTTGAACCGCTTCAAGAGTTGAAGCGCTTGAAGTGTTGAATTGAAACGCTTGAAGTGTTGAAACGCTTGAAGTGTTGAAACGCTTGAAGTGTTGAAACGCTCCAACTGCTGCGCCACTCCAAGTGTTGCGCCACTCCAAGTGTTTCGCCACTCCAAGTGTTGCGCCACTCCAAGTGTTGCGCCACTCCAAGTGTTGCGCCACTCCAAGTGTTGAACCGCTTGAAGAGTTGAGCTGCCCGAACTCCGTCTTGAATTTGACCCCTCTTGGCCGCTAGAGGCAAAAGCCTCTAGCGTTACACCCGCACACCGCGTTGAGGTGGAGGTCATTCGTGCGGGACCCTGTTTGGGAGGGTGGGGACGGCTTTTTTGGGAGAAGAGGAGAGGGAAGGTTAGTTTACTGCCCGCGGGCAGGGTTAGATCAAGGAGATACAACTCGGAACGGCACTCGGTTGTCAGAATCCGAAGACGCCAGGTTGTCAGAGGACGAGTAGGTTTCCCAGCCGAGCCAAACCCGATCGTTCCCAAACACACCTGACCGCGCCCAAACCCACCTTACCGCGTCCAGCCTAGCCTCTGATCTAACGCTCCTACGCGCCTACACGTGCCTAGCTAGCCCACCTATACCTCCCCAACCTACAAACCATTCGCCGCTGAAAAGGGGGACGGGGAAGGGGGAAAAGGGGAGGAGTCAAACTCCAGCGGCTCGCTCCGCCGCTCCTCCGCTCCAACGTTCTTCCGTCCGCCGTATTCCCGCTCCGCCGCTCGTCCCGTCAACCCGCCGCTCGTCCATCGCTCCGCCGCACTTCGATTTGTCGCGCCTCCGCGTCTCCCTCCTCCCGACTCCTCATTTCCTGCTGCAGAGACAAAGGACACCAAAGAGAGACGTCAGTGAATTCGAAACCAAACACATTTGCTGAATGGACGATATCACCTGATAGAAGTTCCCGCTCGTGCTTCCGCTCCCGATCCCGCTCCGGCTCCCACCAGCTCCTGCTTCACAAACCAAGGAAGAACAAGAGGAAGTAAGTAAATGTGAAGGAAAAAAAATGTTAAGGGCGTGTCCAGTTCGTTCATTTCGGGATTTTTCGTGCCAACGCACGTATCGAGGTTCAAAAATAACTACCGTACCTAGAAACGAATGCATTGTGAGTGGAGTCCAACCATCCTGTAATTTCAGAAGCGCGGACACATTCCCCGCCACACGAATCAACAGTGCTCTGACCACGTTGAAAACGAGGTAACAGTTTCCCTCGTCAATCATAGCTTGAAAATTTTTGTGCAGGCGCAGGGGGCGCTGGCGAGTAGAGCGAACCACTGACGAAATCGTGCAAGCGATACAAGGGAAACGAACTGTAGTGGCCAGGACGCGGTGCTGTACCCTTGTTCGCGTCCCTGCTGATTCCAGTAACGTGAGTCAGACGACTCTAGGTACGTGCATGGGGCGTGCCGTCTTGCGAACAGAAGCTGATTGTGTCCGCTGGACACGTTCAATAAAGGGTTACCACAAAAAATGTGGTAGCTGAGGGGGTTTACGAACAGTAAATGTACGAGCTGGACCCCCCCTAACTGGAACGACGAACTTACCATGGAAGGGTGTTGTTCTTCCTCCGCGCTCCCGTCCCTCCGCGCTCCTGCCACTTCACAAACAAAGGAGAAACAAGAGAAAGAAAGTAAACGTGAAGGAAGAATAGAAGCTAAACTGGAACGACAAGCTTACCACGAATTGTTGTTCTTCCTCCGCGCTCCCGCTCCCTCCTCGCTTCTGCCACTTCACAAACAAAGGAAAAAACAAGAAAAGGGTAAGTAATCGTGAAGGAAGAATAGAAGCTAAACTGGAGCGACAAGCTTACCATGAATTGTTGTTCTTCCTCCGCGCTCCCGTCCCTCCGCGCTCCTGCCACTTCACAAACAAAGGAAAAACAAGAGAAAGTAAGTAAACGTGAAGGAAGAATAGAAGCTAAACTGGAACGACAAGCTTACCACGAATTGTTGTTCTTCCTCCGCGCTCCCGCTCCCTCCTCGCTTCTGCCACTTCACAAACAAAGGAAAAAACAAGAAAAAAGTAAGAAATCGTGAAGGAAGAATAGAAGCTAAACTGGAACGACGAACTTACCATGAATTGTTGTTCTTCCTCCGCGCTCCCGTCCCTCCGCGCTCCTGCCACTTCACAAACAAAGGAGAAACAAGAGAAAGTAAGTAAACGTGAAGGAAGAATAGAAGCTAAACTGGAACGACAAGCTTACCATGAATTGTTGTTCTTCCTCTGCGCCCCCGCTCCCTCCGCGCTTCTGCCACTTCACAAACAAAGGAAGAAACAAGAGAAAGTACGTAAACGTGAAGGAAGAATATAAGCTAAACTGGAACGACGAACTTACCACGAATTGTTGTTCTTCCTCCGCGCACCCGCTCCCTCCGCGCTCCTGCCACTTCACAAACACGGAAAAACAAGAGAAAGTAAGTAAATGTGAAAGGGAAAAAGATGTTAACTGGAATGACGAGCTTACCAGGGAAGGGTGTTGTTCTTCCTCTGCGCTCCCGCTCCCTCCGCGCTCCTGCCACTTCAAAAACCAAGGAAAAACAAGAGAAAGTTAGTAAATTGAAAGAAAGTAAGAGGGAAACTGAAAGGACGAGCTCACCATCGAAAGTTAGTAAATTGTCGTTGACGTAGACGATGGTCAAGTCTTGGCCGTCTTGGTCAAGTCTTGGCCGTCTTGGTCATGTCTTGGCCGTCTTGGTCAAGTCTTGGCCGTCTTGGTCAAGTCTTGGCCGTCTTGGTCAAGTCTTGGCCGTCTTGGTCAAGTCTTGGCCGTCTTGGTCATGTCTTGTCCGTCTTGGTCAAGTCTTGGCCGTCTTGGTCAAGTCTTGGCCGTCTTGGTCAAGTCTTGGCCGTCTTGGTCAAGTCTTGGCCGTCTTGGTCAAGTCTTGGCCGTCTTGGTCAAGTCTTGGCCGTCTTGGTCAAGTCTTGGCCGTCTTGGTCAAGTCTTGGCCGTCTTGGTCAAGTCTTGGCCGTCTTGGTCAAGTCTTGGCCGTCTTGGTCATGTCTTGGCCGTCTTGGTCAAGTCTTGGCCGTCTTGGTCAAGTCTTGGCCGTCTTGGTCATGTCTTGTCAGTCTTGGCCGTCTTGGTCAAGTCTTGGCCGTCTTGGTCAAGTCTTGGCCGTCTTGGTCAAGTCTTGGCCGTCTTGGTCAAGTCTTGGCCGTCTTGGTCAAGTCTTGGCCGTCTTGGTCAAGTCTTGGCCGTCTTGGTCATGTCTTGGCCGTCTTGGTCAAGTCTTGGCCGTCTTGGTCATGTCTTGGCCGTCTTGGTCAAGTCTTGGCCGTCTTGGTCATGTCTTGGCCGTCTTGGTCAAGTCTTGGCCGTCTTGGTCATGTCTTGGCCGTCTTGGTCAAGTCTTGGCCGTCTTGGTCAAGTCTTGGCCGTCTTGGTCATGTCTTGGCCGTCTTGGTCAAGTCTTGGCCGTCTTGGTCATGTCTTGGCCGTCTTGGTCAAGTCTTGGCCGTCTTGGTCATGTCTTGGCCGTCTTGGTCAAGTCTTGGCCGTCTTGGTCGTTGGTGTTGACGTTGACGTTGACGTTGACGCTTTTCTTCATTCCTGGAGGCTGGGCATCAACCACGCCATGCCACGAGTGAGAAACGTCGAAGAAAGATAAAGAGACGGAAGATGAACAAAACGAAAAACGACGACGAATCTGAGAGGCGTTGCTAGCGCGGTGCGAAGCGTCGCGCGACCGGTGAAGAGTCGCCATGCTCCCGCCGAAGCGACGCCGTGCGACGGGATACTCGTCGCCATGCCCCGGACGAAGCGACGCCACGCAACGGGAGAAGCGCCATCGACGGGTCTCCTAACCATCTGCAGGGAACAAGGAAAACCGTTAGCTGAACCGTTGAAAAAAGGACGCCGTTGAAAAAAACATGAAACTGCTGGTGGTGTTATCGCGTTCTTACCATCCGGCAACCAAATCGCCACTAGCGACAGTAGAACCGTCATCAGCGGCACGCGCCGTCGCCAAACGCCATGCGACGATGAAAGCACCGTGCCTTGAACCTCGCGAAGATGCAAGCGACGCTTGCGACGATAGAAGGGCGGTCGCGCCAAAGCGACTCCGTCTGACGAGAGAAGCGCCACTTTCGGTCACGTCTCCATGTCTCCATGTCGCGAAGCGGATCTGCACGAACGACGAATCAGTTAGTGCTTTCTTAAAAGGAAGTAAAAACTAGCATAGGCCAAGAACTTGAAAACGAGACTGCACTTACATTCATCGTGGTGAGGCTTGAAAGAAACCGTCACCAACGGCGTGAAGGCAGTCCAGGCATCGGCAAGCGGCAAGTGGATTTCGGTGCCCAGATCCGTCATCAGCGGCACGCGCCGTCGCCTAACGCCACGCGATGATCGAAGCGACACTCGCGACGATGGAAGCGACGCTTGCGACGATGAAAGTATCACGATGTCGTGAAGCGGCAAGACACCAGCGATTCTGCAGGAAACAACGGCTGAGTTAGTGGAGATATTTAAAAAGTGAAACGGAAGAGCTCTAAAACGGAACCGCACTCACCTTCATT